ATAATAGTGTATTGTAGTGGGTTTTAGTCCCACATTGCTTGGGAGAACAAACCTCACACTCCTCTACTTGTATAAATATATGTGCATACTCAATATTCAATTCAAGGGAAATTTACCCAAGATTCTCTCTCTCTTACTTTAACATGGTATCAGAGCTAGGGCTATTTCCCTTCCAATAAAATTTTTTTTAACGCTTCTGCGTTCTTTTGCCAAATCTTGGCCTTATTGCTTTGCAGCCGTTTAATGTTTTTTTTTTCTGCCAGATATTTTGGCCTTGTCGTTTTGCGGCCTCTTAACGCGTTTCGCGTTCTCGTTTAAACCTTCGGGTTTTTCATTCTAACATTCGGGTTCTATTTTAACGGCATTACCGTTTCAAGACCGTCTCTCGGTCTCAAATTAACAGCATCGTCGTTTCAAGCCGTCTCTCGGCCTCAAACGAACGGCATTGCCGTTTCGCAGTCAGTAACGGCATCTCGACATCTTAACGTCTCAACATTGCTGTTATGGTGGCTCCTTTAGAGAAGATTCACAAACCACCTTTGCCCCTCAATGATTGTCACTAATGCCTTGCGTGGCGCTGGTTTGCTTGATCATCTCACCAGTACGGGACCAGTTCCACCATCCATCAGCACTGTTGCTTCATCCAGTACTATTGCCTCTGACAGTGGTAATGTCGATCTTCAGACTGCTCGTGCACTCTATGTCAAGGAGAGTTCAGAGTGGCAATTGCAGGAATTTCGTGTCATGGATTATCTTACTCGCTGTGTTGGCTCTGGTCTCACTGTCGAGATTGGCTCGCTTCCCTCTGTTCGGGCCATGTGGACTCGTCTCACTGAGCGTTTCACTGAGTGCTCGGGTGCACGGGAGGCATATATTCTGCAATGCATTGCTCTAAAACGCAAATGTAGTTCATCTCTGCAGTCCCATTTTGGACAAATGCAAGCTTTTTGGACAGAGTTACGCTCCATGCTTCCTGGACGTAATTCCACGTATGAAGACTAGCTAGCCTGGTACGAACGGCATGAGGTGCATCAACTGTTTCAGTCCCTTCCTGAATATTCAACTATGGCTGATCAACTACTTCATCAGCCTCAATTTCCGACTTTGGCCTCAGTTATGGGAGCTCTCACTGCTTATGAGACCCGGCAGCAGACAGCACGACTCAATTTGTCAACAGACACTCCTACCTCTTCACTCGAGACTGTTTTGTCTTTACCTGTCACTGCTCCTGTTATGAATCATACTTCTCCACAGGCTCCCTCTCCACAGGCTCGATCTAAGCTCTCTTGCAAATATTGCAAGAAGGAAGGACACCGTATTGAGACATGCTTCAAGCTTCATCCTGAGTTACGTTCCTCAGGTTACTGGTCGTGGTCGGCGACCCCCTCAGTCTCAACCTCTCGTACACCAGGATTGTTGGCCAATGCTATACCTTCTACTACTTCAGACTCTACTATTCAAGCTATTGAAAGTCTTCGCCGTCAACTTGATGCTTTCCAACATATCACCTCTACATCCGCCGCACAACTCTCTGGTATGCATTTTGCTGGTTCTTCAGCTAATCCTTCAGTCTCTGGTATGAATGATCTCTGGATTTTTGACTCTGGTTGTTCCTTTCATATGACTTGTAATGCCTCACTTTTATCCTCTGTCTTTACTTCATCCTCTCTTCCTCCTATCTACACAGCTGCTGGACAACCATTGTCCATTACTCAGTATGGCTCTATTACCCCACAAAATGATCCATCTGGTCGTCTAACACTTGGTCCCGTCTATGTGGCTCCACAATTGTGCTTGAATTTAATTTCTATTAGCTCTTTATGCATGGCGGGCCTGTTTGTCTCATTTTCTTCTGATACTTGTATTGTGCAGGATCCACAGACGGGCAAGACGGTTGGGGCGGGTCGTAGGAGGCACAAACTGTATTTTCTGGAATATCTTCACCTTCCAGAGTCCAAACGTCCACGTTCTCTTGTTGCTTCTCTTCGTTCGTCAAACCCCTCTACCTCGCTTCCTGCCAATTTATGGCATAGACGACTTGGTCATGTGTCTAATAAAAGGCTGGAGAGTCTTATTCAGTCTGGAGTACTTGGTCCTGTATCATCTAGTTCTAGTAGTGAGTCATGTACTAGTTGCAAATTGGCAAAATTCACTGTTTTACCATTTAAAATGAGTACATCTGTATCCACTTCCTTATTTGATTTAGTACATTCTGATATTTGGGGCCAGCTCCTTTGCCTTCTTCATCTGGCTACTTATATTATGTTAGTTTTATCGACGATTTCTCTCGTTTTACATGGGTTTACCTACTTAAGAATCGCTCTGACGTACTTACTGCTTATCAAGCCTTCACTGCTATGATTTTCACTCAATGGCAATCTCGTATTAAAGTTTTTCGTTCTGATTGTGCCAAAGAGTACCTATCCTCTGCCATGCGCTCTATCATGTCCTCTCATGGGACTATCTTTCAACAGTCATGTCCCTACACTCATGAGCAAAATGGTGTTGCTGAACGCAAACATCGTCATATCCTCGATACTGCCCGATCAATGCTCATTTCTTACTCTGTTCCTCGTCGTTTCTGGGCTGAGGCTATTCTCACCGCGACTCATGCCATTAATATCACTCCATCTAGCTCTCTTTCCGGTGCTACTCCTTATAGTCGTGTTTATACTCATCCTCCCCGTTATGATCTAGTTCGCGTTTTTGGTTGTCGATGTTTTGTTTTTCTGCCATCTCACGAACGTGATAAATTGTCTCCCAGAGCAGTTTCTTGTGTTTATTTAGGAATTAGTTCAGAACATCGAGGTTATCGTTGTTATGATCCCGCAACTCATCGAGTTCATATATCTCGTCAGGTTCAGTTCGAAGAGGATTCTCCATATTATTCTGCTTCTGATGACTTTAATTTCCTCCACTCTACTGATCATGCTTCCCCGTCAACTGCATCACCCACTTCTTCACCTCAATTTTCCATTCGAGATCTCCCTGACATCTCTCCCTCTCCTTCTATTGACTCTTCCTCACCCGAGTCTTATCTTACACCATCTAATCCATATCCCGTGGACACAACTCTCACTCCAGAAAATACTGTTGATCTCCATGCACCTGCGCCAGCATCTCCCCCGCCTGAGGTTCCTCTTGCTCTTCGTCGAGACAAATGCCCACATGTCATGCCTGCCCGGTATGCTTCTGTTACTTCTTATTCACCTATCTTTCATAACTTTCTTGCTTCCATTCATACTATTGTTGAGCCAAAGTCCTTCCAAGAGGCAGTTTAAATTCCAGAGTGGCGACAGGCTATGACTGAGGAATTTCAAGCCTTTCAGCAAACTCATACCTGGGATGTTGTTCCCTGTCCTCCTGGGATCTCTCTTGTTGGCAGTAAATGGGTTTATAAGGTCAAGTTTCGTCCTGATGGCACCATTGAACGTCGAAAAGCTCGTTTGGTATTGATTATGAGGAGATATTTTCTCATGTTGCTCAGATGCCCACTGTTCGTACTCTCCTTGCGGTCGCTGCTGCTCATCGTTGGCCCTTATACCAGATGGATGTCAAAAATGCTTTTCTTCATGGCTCTTTATCAGAGACCGTATATATGCAACCGCCTCCAGGGTTAAATATTCCTCCGGGACATGTATGTCTCTTTCGCCATGCTGTTTATGGTCTCAAGCAGGCACCTCGCGCTTGGTTTGAGTGTTTTCGCGATGTCGTGCTCAAAGCGGGCTTTATAGAAAGTCATCAAGATGCTTCTCTGTTTGTTCGCACTACATCGCGTGGCAGGGTTTTATTACTCATCTATGTAGATGATATGATCATTACAGGTGATGATATGACAGGTATACAATACGCAAAATCTCAGTTGCAACAACAGTTCCACATGAAGGATCTTGGATCTCTTCGGTATTTCCTTGGTCTAGAAATTTCTCAAGGCCCGCGGGGTGTATTACTGTCTCAACAGAAGTATCTCTCAGATATTCTAAATCAAGCTGAGTTAACTGATAATACAACTGTCGATACTCCACTCCAGCAGAATGTCAAACTTTGCTCTACTGACGGTGAGCCTCTATCTGATCCTACCCGATATCGACATCTTGTTGGTCAGTTGGTCTATTTGTGCATCTCTCGACCAGATATCTCTCATGCTGTTGGTATTGTCAGTCAATTTGTTAGTGCCCCACGTTCTGTACACTATGCTGTCTTATTACGGATTCTTCGGTACCTCCGGGGTACTAGCACTCGCTCACTTTTGTTTCCTGCTACATCTAAGTTAGAGCTTTGTGCATATTCTGATGCTGATTGGGCTGGTGATCCAACTACCAGAAAGTCTACCACAGGTTATTGTATATTTCTTGGTGATTCCCTTATTTCCTGGCGAAGTAAGAAACAAGATGTTATTGCTCTTTCCAGTACTGAGGCAGAGTATCGTGCAATGTCCACAACAGCTAAAGAGATTATTCATCTTCGTCGCCTTCTCAGTGATTTCGGTATTTCTGTTACGACTCCTACTCCTCTCTACTGTGATAATAAGAGTGCCATCCAGATTGCTAATAATCCAGTATTTCATGAAAGGACCAAACATATTGAGATCGACGCTCATTTTGTCCGTCACCAAGTTATCAAGGACAAGACAATTCTACTTCATCATGTTTCATCCGCTGACGAGCTTGCAGATTTCTTTACAAAGGCCTTACCTGTTCATCGGTTCCAGTGTCTTGTACGCAAACTCACTTTGTTTGATCCAACATGAGTTTGAAGGGAGGCTGTTGATAATAGTGTATTGTAGTGGGTTTTAGTCCCACATTGCTTGGGAGAACAAAGCTCACACTCCTCTACTTGTATAAATATATGTGCATACTTAATATTCAATTCAAGAGAAATTTACCCAAGATTCTCTCTCTTACTTTAACAGGAACATAGAACGACGATTTTACTTGAGATGAAGTGACTTAATTTAAAAGAATGATAGTATTATCTATCTTAATCACCAAAAAAAGGGCGTTAATTGCAAATAACCCCTTGAACTATTCCAAATTGAACTTACCCTATAGTTCTTTGTTGCCAATAGACCCACCGAAGGAGTTCTTTTGCTATAGATAGATCCTGAAAGGCTCAAAAATTTTCACTCAGGTGTCTTTCTACAACAATAGAACTTTAGGTAGTAAGTTCAATTTGGCGATAGTATAGGGAATCGATCCATAATTAACCCAAAGAAAAACAAGACTAAACATCAGAATACATAACTGTTCAAAGAATTACTCTAAACCCAAGTTGGTATGTTTTTCAAACATCAACAATCACAATTTTTCATCCAAATTATCCTCCTCCGATGAAGGCTCATTAACCCCATTAAAGAAACTCTCAAGATACGATGACGAGAGCTCATTCCAGCTACTAACACCAGCTCTACATTGCTGATCAGCTATCATCTCAGGCGAAAGCCCCCACTGCTCCATCTCCTCCTTTGAGTGGTGAATTGCGAGGCTGTACTCCCCTGTGGGCCCCAACTGCATCACTCTATACTCGCAGTTGCCAAAATTGTTGAGCGTCTCAAACTGGTCAACTGTCCACTTGAACCACTTCATTAGGAATACTCTGGAGGTGAGGCCATGTGATACTATTATGAGGTTGGTTTCTGTGGTCTCATCTTGGTCGAGTCTCTTCATGTCGATGTCTCTCCATAAGGACTCCATGAAGCCTGAAACATAAATTTGCTCTCAGATCAGTTTAAATTAGAACATCCCTCTCCATATTTGTTTGAAAAGGGGGTCTTGTCTAAACAACTTACTAGCTTTGAGAGTCTTATTTAAAACAACTTAATAGATTTTAGGTCTCATTCAAAACAACTTAATAAATTCAAGAGGGCCTAATTTAGAAATATGAAGAATTGGCGGTCTCTAATATAAAAGTAACAAATATATGGGGTGTCTAATGTAAAAGAAAACCCTTAAATGTAAAAGAAAACCCTTAAATTTATTAACTGCAAGTTGTCGATTCAAGTTACTAAATATAAGGGTACATTTCAGACCTCCTTAAAATTTATATATCATAGAAAACCCTCTAAACTTATCTCAATTAAGTACCATGATTGGCGACAGTTACTTTAAGGTGTGATGTGATCCCCTTCAGGCGTGGGTAAAAAGTAAAAAGGACAGTTGAGATTTTTTTTTTCTTTTTTCATTATTGTAACTGTTCACGTCGTTTATGAGGTGTCAAATTTACCCAACATGTAATCTTACTACTAGAGAAAAAACTGACTTTTAATTTAAGTTACTATAACTTCTGTTTGGCAGTAGAACGAAGAAACACAGAAAGAGTGACAAGATTTTGTAAAAGCTAACTCAAACAGGACTAAATACCCGGTAAGTAAGCATATAAGATACAGCCCAGACACCTAAAAAGAGTGCTTGGAAATAAATTTATTCATAGCAATTTTATGCTTTATATCCTGATAGTATTTCGCATATTTTTTCATTATAATGTTGAAAATCTATATTACATAACGCCAATGATTCTAGCATTAGGTAAATTGGTGACAGTTTTTCTAAGTTAAAACTGGGGTTTTTACACATTTTGGCACAACAATAATTCATATTTGCACTTTTTTACAGGTTTGAAAAGCCAGGTGCCCTGCATTATTACCCAATATTACTAATAAACAAATAGAATTAAGAAAGGGTTTTCTTCCATATTAGTCCCTTAAATACTTCATATTTGAAATTGGTTCTCAAATTAGTGAAACTGCTATTAGGTCCCCCAATTCTTAGGTTATTTAGAAATTATTCCCTCCAATCAAGAATAAAAAAAGCAGTTAAAGGGATTAATTTGCAACAACTTATGAGAATTGTGGGACCTCGTAGCAATTTCAATGATTTGAGGACTAATTCATTATAACTTAAGAATGTGGGACCAATTGAAAATTTCAATTATTTAAGGGACTAATTTCAAAATGACTTGAGAATTTGGGGACCAAATAGTAATTTCATTGATTTGAGAGACTACTTTCAAAACTATTTACGAATTTGGGGACTTATAGCAATTTCAACGATTTGAGGGACTAATTTTAAAGTATGCAAGATTTAAGCGAATAGTATCCAAAAATATCCTATCAATAATTATCTGACAAAATCATACGAGAGAGAAAAAGCATCTTACTTGCAACTCTATCAAACACATCGGCGGCAGACTCGCCCTCCGGGAACCGAAAGAAAAACCTCCCAAACCTCTCCCTCGTCTGCTTCACCGCCTTCATCCTCTCCTCCACCTGGAAATTCCCAAAATCCTGCTCCCTAATCCTACACTCCTCTCTCACCCCAATAATCCTCTTCCTCCCAAACGCTCGTCCCATCTCTCTTAAAGTTCCTCGTGTCCTCTCATAAGGCGACACATAAAAATACACCTTCCAATTTTCTATCGCCTCCTCAAAACCACCAGAAACCACTCGTCGAATATTTTGACCCACAGCTCGAGCCTGCTCAAGCCCAAGAGGAGTTAGAGGGATTCGATAGTCTGGTGTAGTTGTGTATGCTGACATGTCCAAGTTCCCTTGGCTCTCGCCATGCCTGACCAGTATTATTCTCTTTGGTAGTTTTCTTTTAGGACAGACTTCTTGATTTTTGAGCATGGATAGTTCTTCTGAATCGCAAGCGAGTTTTCCATCTGTGCATTGCTTCATTCTTCTTTCTTTGTTTACTTTCCCTTCTTCTCTTGGGTGCTTTGCTTCTTTCGCTTCTCCTCTGATAATTTATTTATATAGAGCTTTGGAAAGTTCTTTTAAAGTGACATCTGTTCATTCTTTTTCCAATATCTTAACTATTCTTTCTTAAGAAAGTTGTTTGTTTGAGTTGGATCCTGAAACCAGAACATGAGTCAAACTCTAGCTTTGGTAATAATCCAACCAAGAGAATACAATACTGTTTGTAAAAAATCAAGCAGGAGTAACTATAAAGGATTTTTTTTTAAGTATCAGGAAAAGATAATTCAATACATTTACTGATTCATAGAATACCACTAGTTGAAAGCAGTCTAGTTTGATCAGATACAATTGGAATTTTTTTAAATTTGAAAATCAATAAACAGCTCCCTACTTTTAGTGTTTCAGGCCCCAGCATATGACTCTTCACAGCCATCACAGATTTTCTGGCATTGAAATATGACTAAATGGCACTTAAATACCCTACACCTTTATACTTCAATACACTAAATTGTAAAAAATAACACTTTAATAGCCTAAGTTGTAAAAAAAATTGCATGTTAGTACCTTCTATTAGTTGTCATGGGAATATTCCTAGGAATATGTCTTGACAACTAACAGAATGTATTAAAGTACTATTTTCTTACAAGTTAGGGTATTAAAGTTCTATTTTTTACAACTTAGAATATTTAAGTGCAAAGATGATGAAACAGGGTATTTAAGTGCTAGTTTCTGAAAACTTTGGGTATTAAATTGCTATTTTTTATAGCTTAGGGTATCAAAGTGCTACTTTTTACAATTTAGGGTATTTAAGTGTAAAAGTGGTGAAACAATAAGGTACTGAAGTGCCATTTAACCATTGAAATATAGAAGGCATCTAGGCACAATCTATAACTTTAACTAATTAACACGACTTTCTCCAATGAGAAAGAATAAAAAAATATAAATCGCATCTAGAAGTAGTTTAAGTGTTTAACTATCAAAAGGTTTGTACAAAGATGAAAGTCAAACTTATTGGCCTCCAAAAGGTGTAGCACGGTTGGGAAATCAAAGTTGGGATTACTTTCTAAAGTCCTTTAAGCATAGGTAAGGCTAAGTCTAAACCATCAGCTCAAGCTATTAACTACTGCTTACAAGTAAAACATGCCACTTGGGCATTCAAAAGTCCTATAACCTGAGTTTCATGAGGATAAAAAAAGGGTAATTACAGA